CATATAGGGGTATGTCGTATGTGGTGTTGGCATTTAAATGCAAGCGTGCATTTAGGTGTATGCAGGGGTATGTTTATATATAATTTTGTTGTTTTTAACACAGAGGTGTGTTTGTATGTAGTGTTGGTGTTTGAATGCTTATATGTATACACATATACACATGCACTGCCATATACACATACAGATACACAACCTGACACACAGATACCATCACTGACATATTCAGATACACCGACACATTAGATACACACTGACACATGCAGACATACAGACACACACACTGACACACATACACACAGACAGATATTGACACACTGAAAGACATACTGGCAAACAGAAAGGCATACAGACATACTGACACTCACAGACATACTGAAACACACACACACGGGCACACACAGTCAGACACATATGCAAAATGTATAATTTGCCTTGGCCCTCCTCCCCCAGCAGCTGCCCTGTTTGCCCTGCATTAAACACGGCCCTGGAACTGAGAAACCAATAGGAACCTTCAGATTGGAGTTTGCAAGAAAAAAAGAATTGTATCTTCTTGAGGGTTTTCTTCCAGGTGCAACTGGAAAAAAAATGTTTTTAATATAAACAAAAATTGCAGTAATTCATTTGTGTCCATTTTTTCTTGTTTGTACTTTCACCACCATAAATCAATACAAAGAATAAACGTGCATTACTGTGACAATATGGAATGAAAAGGAGGACTGTAAATACCACTTAACAAAATAGAATAGTTGTAATTTGTGAATATATTTTTGAAGTTATGAAATTTACTAAAAAAAAATAAACCTATCTAGTTAATACATTTCTAGCAATGTTTCTGTCACTTCTCTGAAATTTATGCCATTAAGTAAAACATTGAAAATCACCTTTGATGTACTTCATCAATAAATCTATCCAAACAATAGTACTCACACACTATGAATGTCTCTTGGCTACTATTAGAAATAAAGTATTAGTGTGAGCTTGTTGTAAATAGCTTCTAAAAGACACGTTGTCCGCAATCAGCTAGACATACTGAGGAGTGTGGGCTGAGCTCACAAGGTATGCATATCTCGTAGCTAGTGTTGAAACAACTAAAAAAGACTGTTACAAACAGTTTATAAGCGGACAAAGTATCTTTAGCCAACTATACAGAGTGTGGGCTGAAAAAGCGTAAGAATGTATCCCCTGGAATAAAGACTGTTCGTGTGAACCTTAATTGAGCGATGTGCTTACAATTGCACATATATTGCTACTAATTTTAGTTGTTCGTAATAGGTACAGTCAAAATAGTACCAGGGGCGGTAGGGAATATTGTTAACAATCATGGCAATAGGTTGCAGAAGGTATATAGCTGATTGCGGACAACGTGTCATTTAGAAGCTATTTACAACAAGCTCACACTAATACTTTATTTCTAATAGTAGCCAAGAGACATTCATACTGTGTGAGTACTATTGTTTGGATAGATTTATTGATGATCCTCTTTTTTTTAAAAAAAATTTTGGTCACTGTACACACACCTTTTTTCACTTTATTTATTTTAGTTTTATTTCCCTTAAGAGAGACTAATAAAGATTCATATATACTGTAATTAGTTCTTTTTATGCTCCATTATTGGCAACTTTTTGCACTTAATTGGCGGAGCAGATCCATTTAGGGTATAGATTCTGATTTTTGGGTGCACTGCTTTAGTTAACCCATTTCAGTCTCTTCTTTTATGATTGACAGGGAGCTAAGATGGAGGTGCCCAAGTGCAGGATAAAGAGGTATGTGTTTCTGCATTTAATTTTATTTTTCTCACCCAACAAATACATATTTGCTAAATATTGGGATACATTATGATAATAAAAATCCTCAGAAAAGTGATAGTTCCTCTTTAACCCCTTAAGGACGGAGCCAAATGTAAACATTGTGAACAAAACAAAATGTAAACAAAACCTGGCATTTGCGCTACATGTCTGTCCAACCGTAATACACCTCTTTCATAGTAAATGCACCCACCCTTATTATATATCATTTTATTCAGGGGAAACAGGGCTTTCATTTAATATCAAATATTTAGCTATGAAACATAATTTAATATGAAAAAAATGGGAGAAAATACGATTTTTTTTTATTTTTTTAGTTCTAAATGACATTTTAAAGGTCAGTGTCATAATACTGTTTGCTTTTACTGCAATAAAATACACATATTTGTATTCAGTAAAGTCTCATGTACAGGTTTTATGGCGTTTTGGGAAGTTACAGGGTCAAATATAGCACGTTACATTTGAAATTGAAATTCGCCAGATTGGTTACGTTGCCTTTGAGACTGTATAGTAGCCCGGGAATGAAATTTACACCCATAATGGCATACCATTTGCAATAGTAGACAACCCAAGGTATTGCAAATGGGGTATGTCCAGTTTTTTTTAGTAGCCATTTGGTCACAAACACTGGCCAAAGTTAGCGT